AAAAAAAAAGTTGTGTAAGATTATACTAATTACGGTCACTGTTAAACGTAAGTAACAAAGGGCTACCATGTGATGAATAATTTCTCTCTCCCTTTTTAAACACTTCTACAGCCGTCTTAACTTCACCCCAAACTGCAACTCAAGAGTCTGCAGCTGGCATTTCCCTGAAGGAAAAGCTGCGGGGCCAACAAGATTTGCATGGAACGAGGAGTCTTTTCACTTCTCAGATGAAGAAAAACACCCTGTGCATAAAAAGAAAAAAGAACAGGCCCCAGCTAGTGGTGAAAATCAGTGTGAAAGATCAGATGAGCTACATCACTCCAACAATGCAGATACACAGACAGCTACTGCAAGCTCCTCAAGTTCTTCCAGCAGTCTTGTGGTGCTTGAGATTGAGAATGATATGCTAAGACAAGAGAATGAAAAGCTAAAAAAACAATTGGAGAAACAGAAGCAGACGTTCTCATTCAGTCAAATATCTGACAATCCTGAAAGAGTCCAGTACTATACTGGATTGCCCGATACTGCTACTGTCCTGTTTTTAGAATCCCTTCTTTCCAAATTTGAGCTCAAATATCATTCTGGTTGGACTGTCCAAATGTTGCCCATAGTGGACCAGTTATTACTAACCCTAATGAAGCTCAAACTTGATTGTGGCCATGTAGACCTTGCAACAAGGTTTACCTGCAGCACAGCCACAGTAACTAACATTTTCACAACAATTGTTAGTGCACTGCACGACATTTTGTATGTTGGCATGTTGGAAAAAAACATTGCCTCGAGAGCCAAGAATCAGACATCGCTGCCGGATTGCTTCCAGCCATTTCCTAACTGCAGGATTGTGCTTGACTGCACAGAAGTTTCTGTTTCTGGCAGAGAGAGTCGTGACACACAAAGTTGTTTGTATAGCCAACGCAAAGGACGGATCATACTCAAGGCTCTAATTGGTGTGGCTCCAAATGGTGTAATAACCTTTGCAAGCAACTTGTACAGTGGAAAAACCTCAGATAAGGCGATAACAGCTGACTGTGGAGTACTGCGACATTTACAACCAGGTGACATGGTCATTGCAGGTAAGGACTTCACAATTCAGGACATCCTCCCAGAGGGGGTCTCGCTGAACATTCCGTCTGTCAGCGGACAGTTCGCACGGCAGGAAGTGAACAATAACAGGCTGATCTCCTCTGCAAGAGCACATGTAGCACATTCCATTCAAAGACTGAAACGTTTCTCAATTTTGAATCTCGTCCCACATCAGTACAAAACAAATATTAATAAGATACTGAAAGTATGTGTGTGTCTTACAAATTTACAGACACCCGTTATCCATGAAACTGAATGAATTAGACCAGTGAAAGTGCAGAGGCAAAATTACATGGTGTCACTGTCTAACTACTTGTGGACCCGACAGTACAACTGTTGAATATGTTTATTCTTATTGTTTGTACCTTTTTAAGTATTTTGGATTGTTTTGTGGATATAGTCAGGATGTTACATCATTTTTAGTTGCATAGTTTAAAGTTGAAAATTCTCAGTTGTAATTGGTAAAATGTTTAATTTTACTCTAAGTGGTTTTTGTTTCATCAGTGGCTTGTTATATTGTTCATTTCATTCCAGCTTCCTGATTACTGCCCAGTTGTTTTGCTGAACATTTTCATTAAAAATAAGGAATACAAGATAAATGTGTTACTCTTTATTTTCAGAAACAGTTTTTGTCCAAAACATTTTCTTGTTAAAATCAAAACTTAATTTTAATAATTTATCTGAATATAATTACAAATGTACAATTTACAAATATTTATAATTTATTTAAAAATGAACTGAAAACTGCTGGACCGATGCATCGCTTGTGCAGATATGAATTCATAGCTGCGATAGACGGTTGGGTAAAAGAACATTTCTAAAGTTTCAGTGTTAACAGCCCGAGTTTGTTCTCTATCAACAGGCAAGATTACAAAGTCACGTGGAGTCCAACCAATAAAGTGACAGCTGTTGGTCCCCTGTGAGATGTAGATAGTTGTGATGCTTTTTTTTAATACCAGGGAACCACTTGCCTCATCCAGCTGTAGGAAAAAGTCCTTCCTTTCTACAGCCTGCAAGACAGTTTTGGTTCTGGCTGACCATGGACATTTCACCTCAATCGTGCAGTCATCAGAGACTGTCCCATCTGGAGAACTGCCAAGCAGGCCACTGTTGGATAAAAACAGTCCCCTCTCAACAACTGCACCAGTACAGTCAGTGTACAGCTGCCTTTGGGGATGAGACTATTACTTAGTTATAAATGCATTATTAGAAGCACAGACCCCTTTTTACTGACAGCTTACTTTAGATCCTTCTGTCAGGTTGTACTGGCCAAGCAGAGTCTTAAATAAGGAAGGTGGGTATGAGCTCTGCTGGACCAAACCTAGGTTGCTGGCCATGATTCTCTTCTTGCGATATGCTGCCCTTTTATTAAGAAAAACAAATTAAGAGAGATGGTTCACTCAAATTTCTTGCTTAACACCTAACAGAATTAATTTCAAGGCCCCCCCCCTTTTTTTTTTTTTAATCACAATACGTTCTCTGTTTGCCCAACTGTTGCTTCCTCAACCTGTTTCTTCTCTTACGCAGTCACAGTGAGTTATGCCAGTACATAGCAAGCCTTGTCTTCTGCTTGGCAAAACTCAGGTTCCTCAGCAATCCATCAAATGTCTTGGCTGGTAAAGTCTAGATTTAAAGCAAAAGGAAAAACAAATACAATGTGAAAAGTTTTTAATGGGACCAAGAATGTTTGACCACAGAGTAGAAAAAGTAGAGTATACAAAATACATATAAAATTAAAGTGGGGATAGTGAAGACAGACAGTCTGATGTCTGTAGTTTACCAGTACCCCTGTAGCTAGCCAATGGGCAGGAAGATAATCTCAACTAGGCTAACATAGCTAACTCTCCGAAATCTCCCTGTTTTGTAGATTTCCATCTTGGTTTACTTCCACTGTTATAGCAGTGCTGTATGCATGCGTGTTTTATGAAATGCATCAGCCAGTACAGGACATATCATGTTTAATCATCCGTTAGCTAGCTTACTCCTAACCCATCGTTGTTTATTCAAGAGCATTTGGACCCGGAAATGTCAGCTATGTCACCCGTAACATCAGACTTAACAAGCAGATTGTAACCAGTAAAAAAAAAATAGGAATTTTATTGGGTTTTAATTGTTATTGTTTATCTATTAATTAAATACTTTGGCATAGTATGTATGGCATTGATGGAAGTCAAAACAGCAGGACAAGCTGTAAAAGTTCTGAAAACATAGTTAAATGTCAAAAATATAACACTTCCTTCATATATTCCAAAAACCTCCAGATAGGAGTCTACCGGGCCGATTTTGGGCCCCGGGCCTTATGTTTGACACTCTTGCTCCAACACAAACGACCCTGGCTGCAGAGTAGGGAGCCAGCAGGGATCTTCCCGCCCACGTGGGGGCGCTGCACGAGCTGTCTCACGCTCCACGTACCCGGTTGCTACGTCACCACATTTCACCGAATACGATGCAACAGCGTGGAAAAGCGTAAAGGTGTTCTCCTGGCGGCCCACAGAAACAGTAAGTTGAATGAAAAGTGGAATAAAGTGCATCTCTGCGTCAGTATTAGTAACCCGGCTGCTGAGCTGCAGAGGGTTTTATAGCAAACGGTGGCTGAGAGCCTTCCGGCCGACTTACTTGAATGTTTTTTTTGTTTGTTTTCCTGTGTGATGCTAAAATGTGCGCGTTTAGAGGCAAAATGAGGGAAGCTGCTCTCCTGCTCACACACTGCCTGCTTGTGTGTCTCCTCCTGAGCTCCAGCCAGGCGGCCAGACAAGGACAGGACCTCAGATGTGGAGGTGAGTAACCGATTTGACGCACAAAGAAAAGTCCTAATGTAGTCGGTGTCTGACCTCTGCTGCACCTCCCCTCCCCTCCTCAGCCTGCAGGGCTCTGGTAGACGAGATGGAGTGGGCCATTTCCCAGATAGACCCGAAGAAAATGATCCAGACGGGATCTTTCAGGATCAATCCAGATGGGAGTCAGTCCATCAGAGAGGTGAGGCTGCAGTAGCATAGCCACGTTGTAGTCTGGGTTCAGCCCCCACTGTAGACTGCATCATAAGTACACAGTGTTGACCACAAAACAGGGCCATACTTTTATAGAAAGCATTGCCTGCCTCTGAAGGTCATTATCTCGTTTTAAAGATATCAGTTAGTTTCAGTGGGTTGGCAATAAAAAGAACTTCTGAACTCTGACACCACCAGGTTCCTCTGGCACGCTCAGAAGGAAACCTCCTGGAGCTCATGGAGAGCATATGCGAGAGGATGGGGGACTACGGCGAGCGCACGGATCCCTCCACAAACAGGAAATCGTACGTCAGGATCAAGTCTCGGAGCGGCGAGGCCATGGACCTGTCGGAGGCCTCGCTGGATTCAAGGGTTACAGCCAGCATGAAGTTTGCGGTGAGTATAGTTTTTCCCGCTTAGACCTCCAGCACACCCCAAGGAGGAGCACAAAAAAAAGGATGTGGTATAAGTGTGTATTTTTCCTTTTTTGTTCAGTGTGAAACAATAGTGGAACAGCACGAGGATGAAATCATCGAATTCTTCGCTCATGAAACGGACAACGTTAAAGACAAACTGTGCAGCAAAAGGACAGGTAGGTTGAGGCCAAATGCATCAAAATGCAAACATTTCTTTCTGTTCTGATGTTCCCCATGCGTTCAGCTGTTAATTCACCGTGTTGTTTCTGTGCTGTGTGTCCCGCAGACCTCTGTGACCACGCTCTAAAAATGACCCATGATGAGCTTTGATATCCTCTCACCATAGCGACTGTCTCTCCTCAGCTCAAATGGAGACTTCTGGGTGCTGTAGTGTTTTCTATTGCCACTTATCACCTGTTTGTGTCAGGGCAGTGGGACAATCTGTATAAAAATCCTTATGATAAGAAATAAAAACAAAAAGCATTACTCCTGTGATCATGGACACTTTGAGGACTACTCTGCTACTCTTTTTTTTTTTTTTTTTTTTTCCCCTTTTGGGGAGTCATATCTCATTTTATGTGACACTGTAAGTTATTAAAAAGGCTCTTATTAGTCTCTGGATATAAACTGTGAAACTGTAAAAATGTATTTGGACTTTATGCGGAGGCTAAATTTGGTTGGGTGGTCCTTCGAGGCCTCATTCACGCATGATGGAAAAATTCCTGAGGTCGAATCAAAGTGATGCTGAAAGAAGTTGGCCTGCTCTTGAATTACACCGCTATATAATGATAAGTGTGACTTTCAAGTTCAAGCTTTAGAAGAGTTTTTTCATGCTCGTCAGTATTTATTTAACTGCCCATGATCACAGGATTAACTGATACCAGCTTGATTCTCCTTCTTATATTCCCCCATGAGATACTCGTTCAGGTAAAACGAAAAGTTGATGGCCTTTTTTTTCTGAGTCCCTCGTGTAAAAATAACTTCAGATACGGTTTCGGTGTAGTTCGAACGATAACGTGCCTTCATCACCAAACAAAATTTCCCAGGTAGTTTACCCCCTCCAACAGCAGCGACGTGCTCTCAGCAGTATGCTTTATTTATCCTAAATAAATTTGGCTAAAAGACTCATGTTCCTAAACTGTTGGATTATAACCAGAAATGTCTTCAGGTGTTAAAGTGCTTAGTACACAAAATTTGCACGATTAGTATCCACATTCCTGTGCATTAATTTACTGTTTAACCTCCAGTGACTTTAAAACACTCCTACTGCTAAATAAACTGCCTGCATCTTCTCAAGTTAAACCTCTCACATGCTGCTGACAGAGCACAACAATTATCCTCACATGTTGGAGCCTAAACTCGTGCACACAAAACTTCTTTGCTCATTATTTCACATTACCTCAGAGTTAAACACTACCGAAACCAGCTGCGATTTACTTGAGCTCGAGAATCGAGATTGTAGCAAAGTTTAGATTTCCTGGCTTTGTAATAAAACTGACCTCCTGCGTAACCCCACCAGAGTGTGCTGTAGGCAGCAGTGCGAGCACACCAGTACAGCCACAGTAGAAAGATCAGGAAGTATTTTTGGTGTT